TTTGGGTTGTTGTGGTGGTGGTTTAGGTTTGATTTAGCTGCTAACCTCTTTATGTGCAATGGTATGTTTCTGGATGGCTATTGAAGTTAAACTACCCTGGGACATAGAGTTTTAGCCTTTGGTCTTTCAATCACATCTTGCAACTTTTGTGGTTTTGTTCCAGTAGATAATTTTGAACCCAAGAATATCTGCATAAGCTTCTATTTGTTTGTGTGTTGGTTAATGTTTACAGTTGAGGGACACTACAAAAGCTTAAGCACCAGTTCTATAAAGATTATCATGGAAAATCCATATCCAGTCCAAGTTTTCTTGTAGGCAGAGTCACCTTTCACACTTCAGAGCCACTTTCCTAAAGTTTTTCTACACTATTCTACCGTAATTTTTGGTTCAGTAGTAACCTTGCAAACCCTTGGCTGTTAGGGTTTGTTGTATTTAGCTCCAGAATTCTTAATTTGAGCTTTCCCGGTTTTAAACTTTAATATAGATAATAAAGGGGACATTTGTGATCCATTAGGACTTGTTCCTTTTATGATGAATATTTGTACAAAAGATTGATATTGAATCTTCTCTTCATATACTGGGAAGAAACAAGGACCTTGATGTTTAGTAATTAACCTTTGGACCCTGTTTTTTTATGTACCCAGAATCCCACCGGCCAAGAGAAGTGACAGAGGAGATGACGTAGATGCTGCTAAACCTGTCTATGTTGGGGAGTTCCCTCAAGTTGTACGTGAAGCACAAATGAGAGTTCAGAATTATGTTCATGGTTTGTACAGTAAAGTTTTATTCTGGAAATATAGTATTGTTAGATTATTTTTCAATTATTGTTTTTTTATAAATACTTCTAATACTAGTTCGTCTGGCAGCTGATGGTGGAATGGACGAGGAGACATCCCTAGCATGGATCATATGTGGAAACGGTCTCTTTATCTGGAACTTCTTATCATCTGCTGCTTCAAGAAAATGTATCGACATTGACCTAACGTCTGTTAAAGAAGAAATTGGAGATGTGAGCAGCAACTCATTTCGACCTAACAATTGGTTAGTCCGTTTTGTCAACTGGGACAGCTTGAAGAAAGCTGGTAGCATCACTGTTCAACAGCTCAATTCTGCTGGGATTATATTGTGTAACAAAAAAACTGGTGCTCTACTTTTCTGGCCAGATATCTCAAATGCTAATAGGATGCTTCCATCCACGTCTCTTGCCTTTTCCGACAAGTTTGGCAATAAGGCTGCAAAATCATGTTATATTAACTCTTTGATAACTTCACCTGTCTCGTCTACCAACAAAAGTTGTATTGCACTTGCATGTAGTTCTAATAGTGAACTTTGGAGATTCTTCTGTAGCCCTTCTGGTATTCAATTTGAACAGATTGAACATGGCATGTCAAATAAATTATCTGAAGGAAATGATAACGGTTCGTCTGTGGAAAGTAAAGGCTATCCTAGGTCACTGATTTGGCAGTTTTCTAGTCATTCATCGGATGACACTACAAAACAGTTCCTTCTGCTAACTAATCACGAGATACAGTGCTATGCAGTAAAGCTTTCCTTTGATTTAGATGTGGTAAAGCTTTGGTCTCATGAAATCATCGGCACTGATGGTGATTTGGGTATACAGAAAAACCTTGCTGGCCAAAAAAGGATTTGGCCTCTTGATTTGGCTGTTGATAGTGATGGCAAGGTAATAACTGTTCTAATTGCCATCTTTTGCAAGGATCGGGTGACCAGTTCAAGCTACACTGAGTATTCCCTTCTGACCATGCAATACAAATCTGGAGTAGATATAGCCAAGCCAATAGGCAAACAGATACTGGAGAAAAAGGCCCCTAACCAAGTTATTATACCTAAAGCTAGAGTAGAGGATGAGGAATTTTTGTTCTCAATGAGATTAAAGGTAGGTGGAAAGCCGGCTGGTTCTGCTATTATACTCTCAGGTGATGGTACTGCAACGGTGTCCCACTATTGGAGAAACTCCACCAAGCTTTACCAGTTTGATTTGCCCAATGATGCTGGAAAAGTTCTTGATGCTTCAGTATTCCCTTCCCTTGAGGAAAGTGAAGATGGAGCTTGGGTTGTGCTCACCGAGAAAGCTGGAGTTTGGTCTATACCTGAGAGGGCAGTTTTACTTGGAGGAGTTGAACCACCCGAACGAAGCTTGTCACGTAAAGGGAGTTCTAATGATGGATCTCTACAGGAGGAAAGAAGGAGCGTTTCTGTTGCTGGAAACATTGCTGCAAAAAGAGCCAGTCCAGAAGCTTGGGAAGCAGGTGATAGGCAACGAGCGGGTTTAACCGGAGGTGCACGTCGTATCCCTCAAGACGAGGAATCGGAATCTTTACTAAGCCAGCTTTTCCATGAATTTCTCATGTCTGGACAGGTTGATGGTGTGCTTGATAAATTGAAAAATTCAAGGGCTTTTGAAAGAGAGGGAGAGATAAATGTATTTGCCAGGATGAGCAAATCAATTGTTGACACCTTAGCTAAACACTGGACGACAACCAGGGGATCTGAGATTGCTCTATCTGTTGTGTCCACTCAACTAGTTGATAAGCAACAAAAGCATCGGAGGTTTCTTCAGTTCCTTGCTTTGTCCAAATGCCACGAGGAATTGTCTCACCGACAGAGTATGGTCATTTTAATTATTTGGATAATGTTATGCTGCCTTTTTTTATTCATTTTCATTCTGCTTTTCTTTTATATTTCTGAAATTTGCTCACGCTCTCTCTCTCTCTCTCTCTGATTTCTGATGATGTTTGATGTTTATTCTCTGACCAGGACAATCTATGCAAATTATCATGGAACATGGGGAAAAGCTTGCCAGCATGATTCAACTGAGAGAACTTTTGAATGCAATTAGCCATGCTACCGAGTCTGGGGTTGGCTCCTACTATGAGTCAGATGCTCGGACTTCTGGAGCTCTATGGGATCTTATCCAGTTAGTTGGTGAGAGGGCCCGCCGGAACACAGTTCTTTTGATGGATAGGGATAATGCTGAAGTATTCTATAGTAAGGTCTCAGAGCTCGAGGAACTGTTTCATTGCTTAGAGGGAAATCTAGAACATATCATCACCCAAAATATGCCTATTATTGTGCAATCTGAAAGAGCTTGTGAACTTGCAAATGCATGTGTTACAATCTTCCGTGCATCCGTTGACTATAGGGCTAATCACCACCTGTGGTACCCTCCACCCGAGGGCTTGACACCGTGGTATTCAAAATTTGTTGTGTGGAGTGGGCTGTGGAATCTTGCATCATTCATGCTTCAATTGCTCAGTGGAACAAATGGGCTTAAAGATTCTGTCATATTTGATTTTTGCTCGAATCTTGTAGTACTCTCAGAGATATTACTTGAATCATATTCTAATGCTATCACAGCAAAAGTCGAACGGAAAGAAGATCATCGAAGTCTGTTGGAGGAGTACTCAAAATGTAGAGATACCCTTCTCGACTCCCTTTATAAGAAAGTGAAAGATTTCATACAGGCGAAATTACAGGTAACTACTTTGAATTAATTTTTTAAATTGTGGCGTTATATGAGGTTTCAGAACTGACAAAATGGTTGAATGCACATTTCACAATATAATTTTATCCCTTCATATTCATTTATCCTCCTACACCTTCTCTAATAGTAAACATATTCACTGGAGTTATGTATCATCCCAGCTCATATATTTTGCTTTTATTTGCGATTCATTTGTTGATTTTATTTGGATGCATCTATAATTGTTTCCTGTTTTGCCGTTGCAGGATTCAGCTGAGGAAAATGAGGAATTGAATAAGGATACTTTGATGACATTTTCTTCAAAGTTGTTGTCAATTGCAAAACGCCATGAGGGTTATCAGACAATGTGGAACATATGCTGTGACCTCAACGATTCCGAACTCCTCCAGAGTCTCATGGTATGAACTTAGAACTAAGCTATAGTACCACAAGCCCATTGCTTGCAGAAGACAAATTTTGTCTGTTGACCCCACTATATATATATACACACACATTGCTTTTGACGCGTCATTTGTAATTAAAAAGCTGCTCATTTTTTTTTTTTTT